TGTTTGTTCGATGATTAAGGATTGAAAGCAGATCTTGTAGGTGATTCACAAAATATTTTTCTTCGTAATTATCGGTTCGACTCAGTTTAAAGTTTATTGTGGCAGATCATTAATTTGTGTTACTCCATGTTCCCGGCTACACTGGCTTCGTGTGCGCCGTAGATACAGCGGTGGCGCCAAAAGAGCCCCTCCGTCTTCAGACAGTAAGATAATTCGAGCTAAAGCTGAGGGACTCCTTGTCCAACCCTGATGGTGTTAAACGCAATAACTAATTCCACTAACAATTCACGTAGCTTGCGTCAAAGAGACATGTTGCCAACATTAGCTTGTTAGCTCTCCTTCCACATCTTACATCGAAATCTGTAAATAATACTCAAACGAGTTTAGAAAACTTTCCCCCCTCCCCCACAACAGAAAAATCACTCGTGTCCAGCCTAATTCACCTTTTCAAAGGTAATGCTTATAATTTACACTCTTGGTGTGTCTACAGGTAGAAAGCTCTAAGGGCGATGCTTTCTATTGAGAAATGTGAGATGTCAGATAACTGATACTGACCATTCGTCAGCATCGGGCGACAATCTTGTAAACACAACTGTTGGGAAAAAAATAACATACTAGTGAAGTTGCGAGTTGAATTCTGATCTTTGAAAGGTTTCGTGTGTGTGTGTGTGTGTGTACTTACCTCGTCTTTCCCAGAGGTAGACAGATAATATAGGCTTATGTGTGTGCGTTCTATGCATGACTTAACAAAATACTCGTTTATGACGCTAAATAGCAGAATGTTTTATTTTACAAGTGTTGTCATTAGGCAGCTTTTAAAGTACATCGATGTAAAGATCTCGTTTCAGTGACACAGAAAGCTTGCAAGACAGAAAATGTTCCGGTCTACTTTCGGTGTTAAGAAAGAGTTATGTAAAAAGTATTAGGGATTAAGGAATAGTTATGTAGAGTAGCATTAGTGAATAGTTGTAGTAAGCAGTAGTGTTAATAGTGCTACGTATTTAAGGACTGTGGCCGGGAAAACCTGCCACAGATCTCTGTATATAGTTCTAAACCAAATATATTATTATTATTATTAATATTAAGTGGCGATAGTTTGGACGATATCCGTCAGGCTTTGTTACGGTCTCCACAGAACGTCACAAAGAAAACTTTCTCTTCAGAGTGGATTACCTACGAACGTACGTATGGCTTAAGATATTTTAAATCGTCGTTCATATCATAAGAACTGGATTAACCTGATAAGGAAAAAACGACTTTATTACTGCATATGGTTTACACAATTCATTCGAATGTGTATAGGCGTTTTAGATTAAATTTTATTTTATGATTCTTGTGGATCTGTTAAATTTAATTTGAAGTTCTCACAAGCGGTGAGATGGATATGGTTGTTTATATATTTTGAGTTATCTTTTTGTTTCTTTTTATCTAACATTCCGTGATGCTGTTCTTTATCCTTCCAGTCTGTCTGATTATTTATCCATTTCTATCAATGCTCTTTTGGTCACAGAAGTAACCGCTAGGTTTTTTCGTTCTGACGAAGTTATTTAATTCCCTGAAGACGTTAACCAGTCTTTTGTTGATTAATCGGACGTAGAGGCTGCCCCTTTAAAGCCATAACATTGGCTGCTCATCGACAAACCGAGGTCCTTAGTCCCTCCGTGACTATATAAACTCAAGTAAACTCTGTTCTCAGCAAAACTTAGTGAATTGATCTCCCCCTCCCCCCTATGCCTGTGACCCCATTGTCCATAATTACGCAAATGTACTCAGTAGTAGTCAGCGGCTGTTCTGAAATCGAAATTTGGGGCTATGAAACTATCCTATTAACAAATTTGCACTCATTAAGAACTGTGTTCCCTTTCTTTTAGTATCACATTAACTGCATATGTGCATTGAATTGCTGTATTTACATGTGCTTTGACGAAAAAGTGCGGGAATTGTTCTTGCGAAAAGTTTAAAAGAATGTAAACTCTGTTGTTATAATGAAGATTTAGTGTTTTGATTAACGTAGTTTTAAGTTACTGCCACTGCATTCTACTGCAGAGAAATATCAGTACTCCACAGATACGTTAGTCGGTTGCAGCCGGATTTTGAATCAGGAATCACACAAATGCAATTATAATCGTCGCTACTGCTGACCTAAACCTGCTTTATCAAGTAATTGAAGTGTCTGAATATTAATAAAGTAATTAAAATGTATATTAAAAAATTACATATCATTTTAATACACTAGTGTATTAAAATAATATTTTAAACCTTTTAATATTATTTTATTATTATAATTGTGAGTGACTGTAATTTTTTAATATACATTTTAATATACGGATCGCAATATGACGCAATTACAATATTTTATATTTAATAAAGTAAGTTACAGGCGGTTTGGTTTTATCTACTACTTGCGTACTCACAGATAAACTAATTCCACGTAGCAAGATCTTTACATAGAAGTTGGTACGACTGATGTTGCAGGAATTTTCATTTCTCCTCTGCTGTGAAACCCTAAGACTTGACACCGTTTTCACAAAACTTTTCCTACGCATTATACTTTTAGCTAGTTGTTTTTACTAAAGGTAAGATATTTCCAGTAAGTAAAGCCTGCGGTCCCGTGTCGTAGATTTACGGCATGTAAAAGAACCTTACGAACATGAACGAGATGTTTCGTAATCAAAATTCAGCGGCCATTTCTCACCCAAATCTCTCCTGATTCACTACTAGATGGCTCTAGCAGTCAAATCAGGATTAAGAAGAAATTGTGCGGAGGCAGTGGGCTGGTTACTCTGTACTAATAAATGCACATTTCAGAGATTATGAAATCTCCTAAAGAAGGCGGCGAAGACCCACAACTAGGTTGTGGAGCCACAGGAAGAAAAGAAGAAGATATTCTCAGTGCTTAATACCACCAGAAATAACTTGCTGGGGCCCGGTTCCAGTTTTTCTCCGACTGGGTATAGAGAATGTGGAGTTTTACCTCCATTGCTCCCTACGCTTTCCTGGAGTGGTGCTTAGTTGTGGAGGCATTGTTACCCTCATTTTCCTGCCTTTCACTGTGGCATTCCTCTCAGGTGCTAAGATTTCTGTGACTTTTTGTGGAACATAAAATACTTTAATATTCAGTGTCTGTTTCGTCCAGGGATAAAGATACGACTACGACTGAAGGCGTTAGTAAGATGTTTTTAAGACGTGCGGCAGATAAGAACATTTCGCGGTCTACTCTCGCATCAGCACGTCTTCGCGCCTTTGTTACCGTGATGTAAGGCGTCAGGCCGATCTCATCAACTTGCGTCGTGGAATCACGATTTGAAAGAAGAAATTCAAATCCCTCTTAGATCTTAATGCTGATTTGTACCGTACGCGAATCAATGGAAATATCTACAGAACCATAAACTCTGCTCTTTAGAATATAACAAACAGTAGCAGTAGTGTTTAAACTGGGATGATTTGACGTCATAGCACGGCTCATGGAGATTTCGTTGATGGTTCATTAATGGCGAATTGGAAATGATGTGGAATGAAGTAGTCGTAGCTTATTTTAAGATATTTTTTTCTCAAAATCTTGACAGGCTGTGAAAGCCAAAGTGGATACTCAGAATTGTCTGTGTCCAGGTCCAGTTAAATGTCAGCGACAACCCAAATACAGAACAGGAGATAATTTTTTTTATCATAAACATAATTTCCCTGGATGAAATTAAATGAATTTCACCTGAAAACTACATAAAAATATTTGTAATTCTTAATCGGATTTATCTTCAAAGTCGGTAACCGACGGAATATTTAGACTATGTCACTGTGAATTTTTATAGTTGACCCATTAATTCGTCTTTTGTTCTCTTATTTATCCTTACTGTCTCTATTTTTCTTATCTTCTTGCTTTGGTAATATATTTCTCTCTTTCTTTATTCGACTCATATTCTCTGCGTCTTCGTCACTTCCAATCTTCTCTCTTCATCTCTTTCAATCATTCAAGGTTTGCCTAAAGCTCTGTTTCTAACTCAGTCTTTTATATACGTCGTCCCTTTCAGATCATTTCTTCGTCATTAATTCCCTTCAAGGGTCACACAGTTACGTCAGTGTTTCTCCCGAAAACTAACAAATATAAAATGATTAATTTCGAAAGGTTGCTAGAAGTCAACACGAAGAACGCTCAGCCTTCTACGTGGATCAGATCCAGTCATTTGGATGCAGAGAGCGAGGCGACATGTACGTTGCTGGTGTGTTAGTGTTACGGGTCACACAGATTCGTGACGTCGAACCTGGTTTTCATTTAAATAATACGATATAAAAATTGTAACACACATCATGCCAGCTTATAACTGGTATATAGACTTAAATTCAGTCAAACAGAATTTACATAACGGTCACATTATTTGATTTATCGTCGGACTAGTTCTGAAAGTTGCCCCGAGGTGTTGTGTAGTTTTAGTGCATGCCATATACAGCGTGCCGTATCGTTTTAAAAACACCTCCGGGACCCGTGTATCAATGCTAATATAATATTCACAATGTGATATTCTCTCTGTACGACTCAGTCTTCACTCCCGTGTTCTTCTGTTCTCGTTACCGATTGTGAGAGAGACCTTGGATTTAAAAGTGGCTTAAGTTACTCACCTACATGTAATGCTTCGATAAGAACTCATAATGCAGTAATAATACATGTCCTGTGTTACACCAATGAGTAACGATTTATTTTAAAAGTTAATTTTTTGTTTAGGTGGTAAGGATATTGGCCGATTTTAAGGAATCTGATGCTTCGCTTACGTAATTACAATTACACGCCATTAACATCAACATGAAGCAACTTTATTCAATCAAGGCCATC